TAGCCCAGATATGGAAGCAACCTAAGTGTCCATGAGTAGATGAATGGATAAAGAAGATATGGTACGTATACACAATGGAATACTATTCAGCCATTAAGAAAGAAACAAATCCTACCATTTGCAACAACATGGATGGAGCTAGGGGGTATTATGCTCAGTGAAATAAGCCAAGCAGAGAAAGACAAGTACCAAATGATTTCCCTCATTTGTGGAGTATAAAAACGAAGCAAAACTGAAGGAACAAAATAGCAGCAGACTCACAGACTCCAAGAAGGGACTGGTGGTTACCAAAGGGGAGGGGTGTGGGAAGGCGGATGGGGAGGGAGGGAGAAGGGGATTGAGGGGTATTATGTTTAGTACACATGGTGTGGGGATCATGGGGAGAACAGTGTAGCACAGAGAAGGCAAACAGTGAATCTGTGGCATCTTGCTGCACTGATGGACAGTGACTGCATTGGGGTCTGGGTGGGGACTTGATAATATGGTAAATGTAGTAACCACATTGTTTTTTCATGTGAAACCTTCATAAGAGTGTATATCAATAATACCTTAATAAAAAATTTTTAAAAATAAAAAAAGACAGCACTAATGATACGAGACTTTGCTTTTTAAATAGGAAAAGATAAAGCTGAAAATCTGTGTTAATCAGAAAATGAAATTATATTTAAAGTTAAATCATGCTTCTTAAAATCAGATTCTAAATTGGGGTTTCCTGTGGGTAGAGGACGTGCGAATTAAGTCTAAGTATTGCCTTTTACTGGCTTCAGTGTGCACGACAGAATTCAACAGATTCAACCCGGCTGATGGGAGAACGTGATAGAGACTGGAAATAGAGGCAGTATAGTCTTCCACCCAGAATGGGATATTTTACAAGAGTTTAAAATTTTTTTAAATTATTTTTCTGGAATGATCATGACAATAATGGTTCTCAGTCATCTGACATATAAGCCTCCAAAATGAGACTAAATGTTGAGGAAATGGGAACACAGTGAAAAATCAAAATCAGACAATCCTCCCTCTACATGTAACCTGGGTGGGGGTGGGGTGCACACTGAAGGTTCTGCTGCCCAAGGACCTGCTGCCTAAGCTAGTTTTCTCCTCAGAAATAACCAGGCTTGAGCAGGTTCATTGGTTTGGCCCCCTTTATAAAGCGGGGGTCAGACACACCCGCCCCGGGGCTCCAGCAGAGGTCTCACTGCATTTTACAGGCCTGTTGCAAGTGAGCTGCTGTTTCTCTTCTGGGGTCAGTGCTGTTTATAAAGGAAAGTAATAAAAGCCAGCGTATCAGAGGGAAATTGCTTTTTCTGGAGAATTGTCCCTTGTAGATCACCCACGAATGCATTTCCCCTAATTCTGTGGGAATGCTGTCAGAACTATTTTTCTAGCGAGATGCACCCACAAATCATGTCTCCTCGCCTTTCCGAGAGAAAAATATTTGCAGGCTCTTTTGAAAGTGTTTATAGCTTGAAGGAATTCTCTGAGTTATTTTTCTAGAGCTCTGAGTTGACTAAATTTGTAAGCTTTCTGCCATCACTGTTCTAAAACAACAGCTTTTATTCAGTCCATTTAAAAACAAATACGAGCAACTAAACTGTAATTGCTGGGGAAAATCTATTTCCCAAAAATACAGAACATTTAGAACTGAGTATTTAGGTTAAATTCTATCTAACTTCCATTAATTCATTGACTTATTTCTTAATAAAAAATGAAATAATAAAATTGAACTTCTTAGAAGAAATGAGTATAAAGTATGTATTTAGTGTATGATGGAAGGAACTTTCTCCTAACAGCAGCCAATGTTAAAGAAGCCCTAAGTCCCCAGTATGCAACAATTTCTGTACCTATATTTACTATGAGCATTAGTGGTTATGGGAAAATGAACCTATCAGCTGGGAAATTAGGTCCAATTGCAGTGACAATCCGTGTAATAAGCCTACGGTCAGACGTCAAACATCGGACAGGCGGCGTGCTTAATGGGATAGTCTCTCTAAAGTTTTTCAGGTGAAATGTATGCTTCATTAATATAAGAGTTTGAAATACTAGCCAGGAGGGAAAAGATAAATATTAATGGTTTAAAAATCACTTCTCAGGACGTTCATACTATATATTAAAAGTAGAGAAGACTTCTTGTAAACTAAAGCATACATATACACTCCTCAGAACTGCCCTAGGAAAAACTTGTTTCACTGTGTCAGTCAGGAAGTTGGCTTGGGAAAGGGCACTGCCAACATAATACCAGGCTCAAGGTGGAAAGCAGGAAGAATAAAATAGAAGTTGCAGCGTTTTCCCACTAGAGCTTCTGGAGAAGCTCACATCCACCGTGCGTTTGGGAGTGATGTAAGTTGGGGTTTCATTGGTTCTGCGTAGGAGAGGTCTGGGGGTCCCTGCTGGGTGGAGGGGTGATCCTGAGCTGAGAGGCAAAACCACAGTGCAGTCTAAGAGCAAAGGTCTGGGGCTGACAAAGGGCTGGTATTAGAACAAATTCTAAAACAACTGCTGCTAAGGAGCCCAAAAAGAACTCTCTCCCCGTCTCCCTCCCTCTTCACTGCCTTACTTGCTGCGTCTGACCTGAGCTTCTCTTCTCTCTTGAGGAAACAGGATGCATTCTGCAAAATTCCTCCGTCCTTACCAGTTCTCAAGGCAAACATGGTGCTTGGATGGGGAGCGGAGCGGGGGAGAAAGCCCCCCTCCAACGTCCCGCTCTTCCCTGTGTGGACACCGTCGGCACAGCAATCCTGGCACACAGTTTTCTTCAGCAAGGGCTCAACTGAGAATGACCTGCCAGGCTTGGGCTGCTGTCCCAGATCAGGGCAGAGCAGGAGCCCTCAGTGACGAGGGGCCCAGGGCCCAGCAGGGCATGGGGCATGGCAGAAGGTCAAGAGAGAAGACAAGGGCCAGGGACCAAACTCCCCAGACGCAAATAAAGGAAGGAGGGACCACGGAGGGATCTCCCTCCTTCCTTCCATCTCCCTCACAAGCACTTCTGCCCCTTCAGATCCGACTTGAACGCACTGTGGATCCCACTTGCAGGAAAATTAGGAGAGGGAGGCTCCAAACAGCAGTGAGCCAGGGGAGAAGACAAGACAGAGGGAGGGAGACCCAGGCGGCACAGGACGGGGCTGAGGGCTGCTGTCATGCTCAGACAGCCTGGCTGATGCAGCGCCCCTCGATCGTCCAAGTGAAAGAAAGGCATTAAAACAGAGTCTGCCCTAAAAGTACCTGGAGTTCTGAAAAAAACATAAGAATAATGCAACCAGCAAAAAAAAAGGTATTAAGGATGATGTTCATTTATTTCCTTATGAGTGGGAGATTTCAATTTGTTATGTACAAGTAGACAGCAACCCGGTTCGACCAGAGGGTCTTTCCTCAGACCCAAGCATTCTTCCAAACACTTCTTTTGAACTGAAGGGTACCAGAAAATACAGCCCAAAATATGACCATAGGAATTTGGGGCATGGCACCCCAAAACATGCCCTTCACTATGTTGATCATTTTGAACTGCAGGCACTTGAAAAACAGCAAGTGCATGGAGAGGCTGTCTGTGAACTCTCCTCATCTGCCTACAGACAGGTCCCTCCAACAGGGACTCAGTTGCCATCAGTCCCCTCCCTGGGTGTCTCATCAACCAGGGAAGACTGACTCTTGTCACAGGAGAGGAGATGAGAAGTCAACCGCACAGCCAGGCACACGCTGTCCCTCCCATCCCTCCCATCTATTCTTCTGAGGGCCCCCCATCCGCCTTTCCTAAATATCATTTACTCTCTCCTTAGAGATTTGTATCCCTGCCTCCCTTTTCCCTTAAGATGGAATTTAAGCCTGAATTTTAAGCCACCTGGGGGGTTATCCATTTTTTTCTCTGAGCATCTCCCTGCATAAATGAGGTAGACATGTAATAAACTTCTGTTTGTCTTGTTAATCTGGTTTTATTACAAGGTTCTCAGCTAAGAACTCAAAAGGGTAGAGAGGAAGTCTTTTTTGCTCCCCTACAGAACCGGTGAATTAGCTAAAAGCACCCAACATGCCAAATCCCATTGCTTGTCTATGGATACTGACCTTCACCTCTATTTCTATTTTCTCACTCAGACTCTGTTCAGCAACATCTCAGCACCACGCTGCTCACTTACTACCACACCCTGTCCACCCTATCCTGTTATTCGTGCACCCATCACTGCGCCTAAATAGACTCCTTGGAAAACAGGGGTCATCTTCCTCGTCTCAGTGTGCTCTGCCCACACCACACTGAGCACGTCAACGAACAAGGGGCTTCGTACATGCTGAGCCTCCAATACGTGCTTACCAAGTATTCAGTCAAACTCTAGAAAGCAAATCCCTTTAAAATTGGGAGAATTAAAAGTAATATTGAGGACTCACTAAGTAGTAGGTGCTCAATAAATACCGGGTGACCATTTTGCAGAACTTCCTTATCATTTCAGTGACCATTGCTGAAATGACACTCCAAGCAGTGAATCATTGGAGCAAGCGTTTTCATTCTCAAGGTATTTCCACAAGCTTGGGAGTCCACAGTTATGCCCTGGGAGGGCTCTGCCTGTTGTTCCTGCCTTAATCTCATCTCAGCCCCTCAACTGAGATCTCAGATACATTTGGAAGTCCTGTGTTATACCTTGCTTAGGGAAGAACTCAACTGCTTTAAAAAGGATTGAACAGCACTGTCTTAAAAAGAGTATTTTATCTTTTTACTATCTTATCAGATCTTAGATTCCTGTCTTTTTCATTTGTTCCCCTTTGGAGCTGATTTAAAACGTAAGAGGAAGCTAGGACGATTTTTGAAGAGAAGGATGCAGCATTCAAAACTGTGCCCTGAGTGAGCTCGTTCAGGAACTGTGTTTAGCCCAAAGCATGGACAGTGTGCCAGGCAGCCTAAAAAGGAAGCACTGCTTACTAGCGACAGGGCTTGGCGACACACTGCTGATGGGTCTCGTGGCTCGCTTACCTGAAGGTAGTTGTCAACAACTCCCCAGGCAAAGTCACAGGCAAATGTGCCCTCGAGGGGTTGACTTTCAGGTAGAAGAGGGAAGCCGTTTTTCTCTATCAGCTTTTGGTAGAACAAGGCTGAAGACTTCGGCAACAACTTCTTATCCTGGCTTAGAAAGTCGATGTAGAAGAGTCCACGTCTGATGCTGTAGCCTCTGTGCCACTCGAAGCCATCCACGAGAGACCACGCCGTGTACCCAATGACATCCACGCCGTCCAGCCTGATGGCTGCAAAGGGAAGATGGTGCAAGAGCAACGTGCTTCAGGAGGGCTTTACTATTTAAGGAAATGAAGTACGTATCATGCGTATTGTTTGGTAAGCCAATGACCTTTCTTACTGACAAAGGCTCTAATCGAACCTAGATAACTCTGCAAATTAATGTCTTCACAAATGGCCTTATCCCCAATAACTTTTTACTTGGATTTCCCTTATTTCCAGGGGTACTCTTCCAGCCTGAGAAGACGTCGTGTTCCACTTTCTACCCTAAGCACGTCAGCATTGTGCCTGATGAAATAAATGAATAAAGTTTTTAAAAGCACGAACTATTTATTATCTTCTCCAGAAAATGCTGATATGCCTTGTTCCTTAAAAAGTGTTTTTATTCAGTACAAGCGATAAAGAACCCAGGAACATATATATACAGAGACCTAGATATCCTAGGAGTTACTTAATCCTTAACATAATCTAAAATCTACAGTAGTAACCCTGAAAGCAGAGTAATTTCACACATTATAACCCAGTCTCTCATTTACAAAATAAACTTTAAAAATTAAGTTCCTCAAGGCCCCAGATGAGAAAGGCGTGATGCAAATCCATTCAACTATTGCCACAATAAATTTCTACATGACAATTAGAAACTAATTGACATCGTTTATCACAGATCATCTTAAAGATTTTTTCCTTCGGTGTCTTTTGGTAGGAAATAAGAATTTTAGCCTCAGTCCTACCTTTTAAAGTTTCCATTATGAATTTTTTGAGGTAATACATATGTTTGGCATCCTCCCGCTTAGTGGTCCCGGAAACAAACCAGCCATTTTCCACAATAAATATTTGGGGGTGGTTATATTCCAGGTCAATCCAGGAGAGGAGCTGCCTCAGGCTGGGGGATTCCAGCTGGCGGAACTTCATGTGAGGGTCCAACAGCTGAAAACTCAAGGTTGGTCCGAAAGAAAGGGCAAAAAAGTCGGCTGTTCCCTTGATGAACTTTTTCTCAGATTCAGTAAAATCAGGCAGAAGAGACGAAAGATTATTCTTCATACTCTCAGGATAGTCGCCATCAATAAATATGGGTTTGGCAAACCAGCCTAGCACAAAGTCAAGAGATTTTTGACATTCTTTGATGCTGTGGTCTGTCATTCCTCGAGGACTGATCCAGTGAGAGCTCAGGGCGATGGACACTTGGCCTCCCTGAGTGGGACGGAAAGACGCATTGTAGAGATGCCAGATTTTGGCATGAGCCTATGAAGAGAAAAACCACCGTCAATCTATCTCTGATTGGGAGGGAAATTAGAATATGTATTTGAATCCCAACTGTAGTTGATATCTGTTTCTCATCAAGCCTAACCTAATGGCCAATCCCACAATGTAAAAGTCACTTGGAACCAATAAATTATTTCAGAGGTGGGTCAGCCACGGTGAGCTGCTACCAGACAGGAATTATTTCCATTGTTTTTCAGCGGCCAGTGGAAAATGTGCATTTCTTGGGTTGAATGTGTAGTGATTATTCACACTCTGAAAAGTTAATAGAGTAAGAATTTGTTATAATATCTTACTGCTTAATTGACTTTGGATTATGTACTTTTTAATTACTAGGCTTCGTGAAAAGAACGAGTCCTGCATCTGTGATCACACCAGGAATTTCTAAATAGGATTATATTTTTTATCCTAAGAGACTGGGAGTTTTGAAGTTGGCTCAAGCTGCTGGGAGCCAATTTAATATTTTGCATTCATCTCCCATAGCTAAAATTCTAACACCTGTTCTCACAATCTTTGTTCTTCTCTAAGGAGAATCAGTGCAATAAATTAATGAAGCAACCTTAATATCTAACCTTGGCCCGCCCTCCAGAATTCTGGGACAATGCTGGCTTCCCAGGGGGCCCAGAGTACAAGGTACAAGCCAAGAGCAAAAGTCGCCTACGTACAGCTTTGAGGAGATCAGTTGTCCATAGTTAGTCAGCATTCGGCTGGGAGTTTCCTACAGCAATGAAACAGGCTTTGCTTCCATAAAACCAACTTTATAAAATCTTACTGACTTCTGGTATCTTGTTTTCATTTGTTCCCTCTTTATTTACAAACAAGAGTGAGCATTATAGCTTTGTCCTTCCTCCCTTATTTGAATCATATTTCGCTTTGCTTTTGAATTCCTTGATTTACACTCCCTATTTTTCTACAAACACCAGGGCTGTTTATCAGCCATCTACTCACCCCAGATATCTTCCTTGAAAACTCTACTGCAATTCTGTTTGATTCAGACTCCCCAGAATGATCATGCCAGTTTTCATTCCACTCCCTGGGCCTTCAGGAGCACTTTCAATCCATAAGCCAAAGATCCTCACATCTCCTCCTAAATATTCTACTCTTGGTTCATGTCAGCGTCCCAGAATGGCGTCATCACCATTCTTGCAAGTTCAGCCAAGCATTTCAATGGAAAAAAATAATTTATGTCTAACTTTTCTTTTTAGTTTCTTAGTAAATATCTACCATGCTTCATTTCACTGAGTGCATTTTTTCATAACCTGAAGCAGCTATCTCTATGCTAAGAAGAAAATGGAGAATAAAATCTTGATCAGAATAGTGGCATTTGCACATGTGATTCAAGAAACCGAGGCTTAATTGTGCTACGCTGCTAGCTTAGTGATGTCTCCTGCTTTTCTTTATCTTCCTCATTTATACCACCCTCTCTCTTTCTTTCCCATTGACAAGATGTTTTAACAGTTTAACAGAAAAGAAAGGGAACCATCCAGGCTAGTACTCAGGATGCTGGACGATGGGATTTTCCTAATTTGACCCAACTGAGATCTACACTCTTATCCTGAATCTGACAGACGTACCTCTACAGGACATGTGCAACAATGTGGACTGCAGGGGTCAGGCAGGAATGACAGCAACTCAACAGCTCCCTAAGCTGGGTCAGTTTTTCAAGTAGCTGAAGGGTCATACCATAGAATTGTCTGTGATCATGGGCCATTCTTCAAACCCTAAGTACTTTGACATGGCTTAGTGGACGTTTGGTGAGAACAGGAATGATGTGGGCTGTGCAGAAATGCACGTGTGGTCTTTGAAGTCAGGAGAAACTCCTGCTCTGTCACTTTTTTGTGTGCCTTTGGCCACATTACTTAACCTGGGCAGGTGAGACTAACTTCCTTGTGTCTCTCACAGGGCTGTTACGAGGATTAAATGAGAAAATGTATGTAAAACAACCAATACAGAGTTTGCACATTGCAAGGTCTCTATGAATGCTTATTCCTTCTCTCCTTAAAGAATGGGCAGGCCAAGAAGGAAAACACAGCAGGTAGAAAAAACACCACCTGCTAAGGAATTCAGCCCAACAGCAGCAAGGTGATGTACACATAGGACCTGATGTTTGGATTAGGAGACACCTGGGTTTGGACCCCAACCCCTCTCCCCTCTGCCAGCGTGACCCTCAGTTAGTAACTTTGTACAGATGGGAGTAGCATATACTCTCCTGTACAGACATTGTAAGGATTAAATGATAGGATGCAAGTGAAAGTGATTATATTAGAGAACTGAATTGGTAGCATTGGGAAGTGTAATGGTTAATTTTATGTGTCAACTTGACTGGGCTACAGGACTCCAGAGAGCCGGTAAAACTTCTGTGGAGAATTTAGCTAAGCTACTCATGTTATTGCTGCCTCAGCATCTGTTTTTCAATGGATAGCCAAGCAGCCAGCCAGGACCTTAACCTGACACTAGCCCCACATGCAATGCCCTGCCCTAGACAGCAGCCTGCAGAGTCCCAAGCAACTGTAGGTTCTTGATCTGACCTCACCAACAGCCCTCATGAGCAGTCCCCCTGCCTCCCAGCACCTGTATGCCTTAAGGGCACCTTGGATAAGGGCCCTGGGGGGCTTACCAAAACCCCTCTTTAGGGTCTAATTTGACCAATCTGGTCTTAGCCCAGCACCCCCAAAGCACTCCATCCACAAACCCTAATAAGGCAGGTCTCCCAGGTGCTCTCTCTCTGTCCATCTTCTGCCTCAACCTCCCCATTTGGACCCTCAAGGCCGTGTACTTCCTCCAGGACCTGTGGGCAGCAGCCTTCTCTATTTCAGTTTCTTTTGTGGTCTGTTGTTGAACCAAGGCTCACTATGCCGCATGGTGTGCTCCACTTAACAAATGTTAATTTAATAACAAAACCACAACATTATTTCTGAGTGTGCCTACGAGAGTATTTCTGGAAGAGATTAGTATGTGAGTTGGTAGATTGTGTAAAGAAGGTCACCCTCACCAATGTGGGTTGGCATCTCCCAATGCACTGAGGACCTAAACAGAACAAAAAGGAGAAGGAAGGGCGAACGTGCTCTCTGGCTGAGCTGGGACATCCACCTTCTCCTGCCACTGGACGTTGGCTGTCCTGGCCCTCAGGACTCGGGGCTTGGACTGGGACGTGCTCAGCTGGCTCCCCTGATCCTCGGGCCTTTGGGTTCATATTAAGATGACACCACCTGCTTGCCTGGACCTCCGGCTTGTAGACTATGAGACGTCCGTTTCCATGAGATCTACATGACCCAATCCCTAAAAATAAATCTTTCTATATAGATATAGAGATAGATAGATAGATGATAGATAAATAGATAGATAGATGATAGATTAGATAGATAGATAGATAGATAGATAGATAGATAGATAGATAGACAGATAGATAGAGATAGATAGACAGACAGACAGACACCCTCTTGGTTCTCTTTCTCTGGAGAACCCTAATACAGAAAGCACCTTAGATATCATTTGGCTTCTCAACTCACTCCACTGCAAAACCCTCCATTTGCTCTCTTATTTGACTGCACTCTACAGCAGCAGGCTTAGTGGTCCCCGGGCGCACAGCATCTTTTCCCCCAGCCCACCTGCCCCTCAGAGCTGCTCGTCCCTCCTCCGGGGGCCTCTGCGTCTCAGGCTCCTTCTCTGACATCATCACGCTAGGTAATGACGCCCCCGTGCCCAGACTGAGCCCCCTGAGGAGGTCCCTCACCCCTTCCCTGCCACGCAGAGGCTCTGCTGTCTGTTAAGCTAAACTGAACTCTACTTTATCACCTCTTCGTGAGACAGTTCTTTCCATTTTTAATGGTAGCTTTGAGTAATCAACCATTGTGAGCAAGGCGTAAGAGGGTCACCATTTAGGATGTTGCAATGACTAAGGATGATTAACAGGGAGACGGTTATGTACGGTTTTTGCATCGCTTTCTAATTATGTCAGGTATGCTAATCCTATAAGCCTGCTATCTTAAGATTAGGATTTAATAAAGCTATTGACAAGGACTCAGGGAAATAATTAAGAATATGAGTAAGACTATTCATCTAAATAGTATGTCTAACAGCAAAATATTGAAAACAATTGAAATTTCCAATATTCAAATATTTATACCCATATATGTATGTTTTAATACCTTATGGCAGGACTAAAGGTCTACAATGACTCAGACAATATAAATGCAGAAGGATGTCTATAAACAGACCGAAATGTTTCTAAAACACTAATTGAACAAAAAGTAGATCACAAATCACTAAGTAGAGTCAATAGCATTTCTATTACAAAATAGTATGTACACAAAGATCTTGAATGATTCATAACTTGTTAAAAGAGGCTTTATAGCAGGATTGTGGGTGGTATAATTCTCTTCATTTTGCTTTTCTATATTTTTTCATTTCCTACCATGTACATGCTTTGTAAGAAAGCTATTAAAATTCAAAAAAGGAAAATAGCTCTTAAGAGTTGATGACAGGCCCTGCTTGAACTGTCCATGATGTTTATTTGAAAGCTGTGGTCTAATTAACCCTGATTAATTGTTCTTTACCCTGCCCTACTGTTGCTGTCTCAGATCCCAAGTCCCAGGCACACTGACCCCTGCATGCAGTTCTGAAATCCCCAGGCCTCCATGCTTCAAAACTCAGTTCAGACATCACCACCTCCAGGAAGCCTTCCCTGACCTTTTCCTCTCCCCACCCTTAAATGTCCATTCTGTGTGTCTCTACAGCTGGCTTATGTCAAAGACCTTAACCATATTAGGTTGCATTTGTTTAAGCATCTAGATTGTAGGTGTTTCAAAGGCATTCATTAGATCTTTCATCTCTCTAGTCTCAGACTCCAACAAAGTGCCTGGGGCAGAATAAGTATTTAATACACAGATATGGAGAGATGAAGGCTGGCAGTAAGAACCAGATCAAAGGGTCTGTGACAGAAGGAAGCATTTTTCAGAGCAATGGCAAACTCATAAGATACC